ACACTCAGAACCACTGTCCTAGAACCTCACATTCACCCAGTAAGTGATAGGCTGCATGAAAGAGCAACAAGTGTGCTGACCGTAGATGCCAAGATTTTAGTCCTTAGTTGGCTTTATGCTGTCAAAGTGACCTTGGATTAACACTTACTCTCTCTGAGGCTCAGTTTCCTCATCTAAAAAATTGAATTAACTTACTTTGTTGTTCAAAGGTATTCCAAGGAAGGAGCAAAATGTGCTCTAAAAATCAAGTTAAAGACCTTTCCCTCAGAATCCTATGTGAGGTATTAGAAGACAACTACACCAACTTCTGCTGGTGTCTTAGGAGGTGCATTTCTGCTGAGAAGCAGGTAACTGTGAGATACCTGCTCACAGGACTGAGGGTCTAGAGTGGTCATGTCTCACTCAGGCACAGCAGTGGCTCATCTTCTGGTCTGGCCCTGAAAGGGACTGTTGGTGAAGCCCCAGTTCAGCCACGTTGGCCCACAGCCCATGTGAGATGGCAGCCAAGGCCTGGTGACCTGGTGCTGCTGGCCTCCTTTTCCACACAGCCCATGGCTAACCTCACACCCATGCTCATCTGTGTGTTGTCCACACACAATTCCCAGCACAGTAGTAGTTCTCCCACCCAAAAGCATATTGGAGGGCAAGATTTTGAAAGTGATATCTTTATATGAAAACCATTAGGTCTGATCTTTTACTTTTAAATATATCGTCCTCCCACTGCAGTGCTCTGTTAGTATAATGACAAATTCCAGTGACAGGCCTCACAAAAAAAGTTCTTGTATAAGACACAAGACAGCCTAATGTGTCTTACACTGACACTGAGAACTGGTTTTTTAAATATCTTTCTATCTAGAATTTCATCCTGGGACCTTTCTTCCAGAAGTCTGTTTCAACTTGTCATGATGTTTTAAATCTTCTGTTTGGTATAGTTCTAAGTAAAGATATATTTAAAACTTGAAATTATTAGCTTGAATTTTACCTTTTCTATTATGCAATGCCCATTTTAAAATACAAATATAAGAGTATTTAGCTAGCATGCAGAATACCAAAATTACAGAATTTGTATTTTATAGTTCATGTATACATATGTATTTAATTCTTATCACAACAGTATAAAAACTACACAAAACAAACTCAACTGTTTTCATTTCACTTCCTTTTTTTTCTTTTTCAACTTTTATTTTAGATTCTGTGGGTAGATATTCAGGTTTGTTACAAAGGTACATTGCTTGGTACTAGAGTTTGGGATATGATTGATCCCATCACCAAGAAAGTGAGCGTAGCACCCAATAGGTAGTTTTCCTGCCCCTGCCTCCCTGCCTGCCTCCACCTGTTTGTATTCCCCAGTGTCTATTCCCCATCTTTATGTTCATGTGAATATTACTCTCTACCTTTGGGTTACTGATAGCAAGGGCAGCCTGAAGAAAAAAAAAAAGCAATGGGTCGTCTGATATTCCCTTTTCCCCTCCACCATCATTTTCAGTGTAAGTGATTGGCTAATACAGGATGTAACATGAATAAGGAAGGCTACAACAGGGTTCCTTGGTTGTTCATATTTCTTAGTTTTCCATTCTCTCTTTTTGCATTTGAAACAAGTTCTGGATCAAAGGGAAAGTGTGGCCTCTTGGGGAGGTCAGTTTCCTACTTACTCAGTTGAAGACATAACATGATTATCTTGTTCTCACTCTGAGTCCCACTGAAGTCCTACACGTTGTGGGTCCATGGGAATTCTGAATGCTATATGCAAATGGGGCAGCAAGACGTGGTGGACATGCATATTGCAGCCTTCTCCTCCGCTCATAACATGCTCCATTGTCCCATCACACTTTATTCACAAAACAGAAGTTAAGATAAAATTATTAAGAACTTCAAGGCTGAGCACATTGGCTCACACCTGTAATCTTAGAACTTTGTGAGGCCAAGACAGGAAAATGGCTTGAGGCCAGGAGTTCGAGACCAGCTTGGACAACATAATGAGACCCCCATCTCTGCAAAATAAAAAACTTAGCTGGTTGTCAGTAGCACACACCTGTAGCCCCAGCCACTCAAGAGGTTAAGTTGAAAGGATTGCTTGAGCTCAGGAGTTTGAGGCTGCAGTCAGCTATGATCACACCACTGCATTCCAGCCTGGGTGACAAAGCAAGACCGTCTTAAAAAAAAAAAAATTAGGACAGAGACAGCAGAGATTAAAACCAAGCTCAGGATGCTTCTGAGCACAGGACGCTGGGTGGCTCTTAGGTCACATGCCTGTGAAGCTGGCCCTGCCCCACGGCGTCCACTCCTGCCACACTGGACCTGTAGTCCCTTGGACTCACCATGTTCCTTTCTGCTGAAGGGTGCTAAGCCACCACATTCTTAGGGAGACCCTCCCTGCCTTGCCTGACCAGGTCAGAATACTTTTAGTACCACATAACTCTCCTTCAATGTATTCGTCACAACCACCATCCTTCTTTCAGATACTGATTATTTGACTGCTTATTTCCCTTCCTACCAGACTGCAAGTAACTTACAGGCCAGGGCTGGGTCTATTTTTGTTTGTTATTGCTTTACCAGTGCTTGGCACATAGTGCCTAAAAAATATTTATGAGAAGAATCAATATTTATGAGGTGGATGAATAAATGAATGAATGTTTTTGCAACCAGAACACAAGTGTCAGGTATTATCCTTTTTACTTGTCTGTCATTTCTACTAGGTAAGAAGTACTTTAGGATAAACCAGCCTTATATTTTAAGGTTTGTTAGTCTTTGTGTCCCCAGGCCTAGCACAGTGCCTGAGACTTAGCTCTCAGAAAAATTAGTTCTATTGAATTGAATTGTTCCGTAGATGGAAATATGTCACCTAAACTTTATCTTGTCTTCCCTTTGTATCTCCTCTTTCCTCTCCTCTGTCTTCTTTCCCTCTCTCCTCTCCTTTTCTATTGTTAAGGATTTCTGCATCTTGAAAACTACTTTAGTTGTGATCAGATCTTTCCAAGAGAAGATTACACTCATCTATTCTAGGTTTAACTTGAGTCTTCGAAGATAAATGGTCTGATTAGCTTATAACCATGGCAGTGGTTGGGCACTCCAGAGAATGCCCCAGAAACAGTCTAGACACATTTGTTGATAATATTCTCATATTGGCATTGATCTTGGGAGAGAATCACAAGGCAGGTACTTTAGAGGTTCATCTATTCAACCTGCTAATTTAGAGAAGAATTTAAACTTAAGAGTTTGAGAAACCCTATTCTCCTGCCCTAGAGGCTGCAGAACGTGTCAGATTGCGCAGTACAGAAATGCCAAGTGATCCCAGAAAACAGAAGTGAATGGGAACTAGCCGTCTTGATGGAACCGGGTCTATAACCTGTCTTGTCCATTTATTCCACAAGTACATTGAGAAATGGCTAGGAGAGGTGGTGGCAGGGGGATGGGAGATGGGGGTAGTAGTGAAAAGGGAATGTTAATAATGAAATTGAGGATCAATGAAATTTTTTTTGAAAAGCATAAAGGTAAGATTGGTATTGATTGAACATCTCGGAAAATATTGTTAGTAAGAGATCATGGCATGATTCCTATATGTAAATCAGAGGATTTCTTTGCTGAATGAGACTTGAACTGGAATATAGACAGTTTCTTCAGGCAATCCATGGGGTGGTTCCTTAGAAGTTATGGGGCTGTTTGGAGATGGTGTGGTGGGGTAGAGTACATGGACTTAGGAATCAGCCATACCTAGGTTTAATACTTAAGTTTAGCTCTGTGACATTGAGCAAATATTTAACCTTTCTGATTTTTCTCTTCCTTTTTTAAAAATTTGAATAAATTAATATAAAATACTTGCCTTGCAGGTTTCTTATGAAGGTCAAATGAGGTTCTCTGGGAAGGGGTATAAAGCTTGGTGCCTGGTGCAGAGCAAACATGCAATCATCTCGTCCCTTCTCTTCACTAGGTCAGCTCTTATGAATAGTTGGGCAGGACCTGGACTAGGGTGAGGCAAGAAGGTGCCTGAGTTACTCTGAGAGCAAAGCCTCATTAAATGATGCACCCTAGGTACCCTGCTTGCCCCTCCCTGGCCTCAGCAGTGCAGCTGAGGCAGTGTCAGATCAGGGCTGGAGCATCTTAGGATAGATGCCCCCCACCCCACCACCATCTCTGGGACCATCTAACAGATGACACAGGAGAGGCCCAGTTGGTCAGTATCATTTGATTTAAGCCAATCAGCTAGTAAGTGGAAAGCCTGGAATGTGAATCTAGGCCTCTAGGCTCTTGTCCTCTGTTTTGCTGCCTTGAAGCCTATAGCTGAACTCTTTTCTCTAATAAGTCTGTACATTTTCTCAATAGGAAAAGAGGACATGTCTCAAATTTTCAGCACTTCTCAAGACATTTACTACAGGTCTTGCATGCAGTTGGGGTTTAATAAATAAACATGCATTGATTGAGAAAAAAAGAGATATTCTCATGGCATTATAATTTTAATGCATAGAAATAGTTATAATAAACATTAACCCAGCTGAAGGAGAGAAATGCATTAATTTCACAACATGTTCAGCTCTATAAGATGTTAGCTTTTCAGGCTCCACAGGGGCTCTGGAACTCACATAGACTCACTCCCACTGTTTCAAAAGAGAAAACTGCAGCTTGGAAGGGGAAACAGTAGCTGGAGACAGAAAATGGAGAAGTGGGGGAGGTAGAGGGAATTTTGCTGCAGTAATGTAGGCAGTGTTTAAACCAGGAGTAAAGGAAAGAGAAAAGCAGTGCTGCTCATGCATCAGTGAGCAAACCCATCACTTGAGGATCCTGTTAAAATGCAGATTCAGTTCAGGAGGTCTGGGTGAGGCCTGGGATTCTGTATTTTTGAGAAGATCCCAGGCGATGCTGATGGTGCTAGCTCAGGGACCACAGTATGTGCATGGAAGAAATTGCATGGAGGGTTTGAGTTTGTGAATCTGGTCCAATGGAAGCACTGTCTTCAATCTGGCAGTTCTCAGTATTCCCACTCACTGTTTTCCATTCTTCTGCAGGGGAAATCTGTGCATTCAAGATCCATGGCCAGGAGCTGCCCTTTGAGGCTGTGGTGCTCAACAAGACATCAGGAGAGGGCCGGCTCCGTGCCAAGAGCCCCATTGACTGTGAGTTGCAGAAGGAGTACACATTCATCATCCAGGCTTATGACTGTGGTGCTGGGCCCCGCGAGACGGCCTGGAAAAAGTCACACAAGTGAGTGGCCTGACAGAGCCCTCTGGACGCCCCTCCTTCCCCTGCCCACCCCACTTCATTCACATGCTGCTCCTCAGATATGTTTACCCCCTTGTCACACCATGGTGCTCCAACTTTGCTCAACTGTTCGCCAGTTTCCTGGTCCCATGCAGGCATCTTCACAGTCTGCTTTCTACACCTGGAATATTCTACTCCCTCTTCTTCACTGGAAGATATTCCTGTTTCACCCTCAGGTCTGAGTTTAGGTGTCACTTCTTCCAGAAAGCCTTCCCTAAGCCAGCCCACCCCCACAGACCTGGTCAGGACCTTTCCCTGGACCTCTGCAGTGCCAGAAGCTGCTCTCTGTCACAGCACTTTTCACTGTGGGTTGTCACTGCTTTCTCCTTTATGAAGTTCATCTCAGAGCCTAACAGAGTAAGAGGGGTTAAATTCTTACTGAATGAAGGAGTGGATGAATAGAGGGAGGAATGAACAGTAAACCTGTTGCCTAAAGCTGGGGCAGAGGGAAGGGCATAAAAGTCTCTCTGGGATGGATTCATCTCACAGCGTCAGAGCAAGGGCAAGTAGAGAGTCTCCAGTGAGAGGGAGGATGGGACACTCAGACAACTGCCTCAACCAGCTGGTGGTTTCTCCTTTCACTTGGCCTTGGGACCTCAGTCAGTGCCCCCAGGAGGTGAAGGAGGTTGGTATGACTCTTTCTTTACCACCATCTCTTCCTTTCTGTGTGTGGTCCCAGGGCCGTGGTCCATATCCAGGTGAAGGATGTCAATGAGTTTGCTCCCACCTTCAAAGAGCCAGCCTACAAGGCTGTTGTGACGGAGGGCAAGATCTATGACAGCATTCTGCAGGTGGAGGCTGTTGATGAGGACTGCTCCCCCCAGTACAGCCAGATCTGCAACTATGAAATCGTCACCACAGATGTGCCTTTTGCTATCGACAGAAATGGTAAGTATCCTCAGAGGACCCCCGTGGGATCAGGAAAACAAATCCACCACCTCCACTCTGAAGGCCCAAACAGGGCTCTGAATGTGCTTGGCAAGTTATGCCTCCCTTGCCATGTTTGGTCTAAGCTCCATAACCGAGAACTCAGTCCCATGCTTGAGGGAATGGCCTTATCTGATTAGCAGCCCTGCCATGTCTAAAACACCCTCAGGAAACCTCAGAAACCTACTCACTCAATGTAGTCTGTACAACTCACGGTGCCACACATCTGGATACTGAAGATGGTTGGTTTCCTGGTCAAATTTTCCAGTTGTCATCCAGAAGTGAGTCATGCCATCAGCTTGGCCGTATCTGGGTCTCTTTCCTATGTAATAAGTCGTAATGCCAGCCCTATTGCCCCCAGATGAAGAGATGCTAAGAGAGGAGGTGGGACTTTTGAAGTACCTTCTAAACCATAGATTCATTCAGGATTTTTTTTTTTTTTTTTTTTTTTTAAATGGAGTTTTGCTCTTATAGCCCAGGCTGGAGTACAATGGCATGATCTCAACTCACTGCAACCTCCACTTCCTGGGTTCAAGTGATTCTGCTGCCTCAGCCTCCTGAGGAGCTGGGATTACAAGCGTGCACCACCATGCTCAACTAATTTTGTATTTTTAGTAGAGATGGGGTTTCACCATGTTGGTCAGCCAGTTTCGAACTCCTGACCTCACCTGATCCACCCACCTTGGCCTCCCAAAGTGCTGGGATTACAGACATGAGCCACCACGCCCAGCCTCATTTAGGATTTTATAAAGCTCTTGCCAATGTCCTTTTTGAGAATTTCAACCCCAGTGAGAATGAAGAATGAAAGAACTCTCCCATGATAATGCAATCCCAGACTGAGCAAGACTGAAAGCATTCCTATAAAGCCATTTGGACATTTCCCCATCACCACGAATAGAAAACTCATTGTAGTATAAACACCACAACCAGAGGCCCAACAACTCAGGCCACTTTAACTGTAAATTCCAACACCTTCAACAGCTAAAATCAAGTGTAATTATTTGCCAAGTACATTGTTTAATTATTAGTGTGAGTTTGTGGGTGTTTGTATGTTCTTCCTACTTTGTTTCCAATAAGATTTAAGTAGCACACAAAGACGCAAAAGTTGCCAAATTCAAACTCCATTCACTCTGTAATTATTGAGTGCCAGGCATGGTGCTGAATACTGGAAAGGAGATAGAGTGGAACTCAAAATAGACATGGGCCTGTCCACATACAGCTCATCATCTAATGGAAAAAAATAGAAAATCCAGTGGCAGCAAGGGTGAAGTTGGTGCACAAAGCATGCCATGAACCAGGGTTGGCCAACAAATTAGCTCTGTACCTCCTGATAGCCAATGTCTAGAGGAAAATAGCCTCAGCCACCTGCTTGTACACCTTCAGGAGAAACCCAACACTTCTTGATGTTGAGACCAGGTAGAAACTTACTCTATGACACTGTCTTCTGCACCCTGAGACTGTGGCAGATGCCATAGGGGCTAGAAGCCAAGGAGACACTTTCATCCCTGTCTTTAAGTAACTTCGGATCAGTCTGGGAAGACAGAACTAATATTCATAAGACAGAAAAAATAATAATAAGATAATTTCCCTCTAAAATGCTAAAACATGGGGAAAAGACAATTACATACCTGGACACCACAAGATAATTGTACAGGCCACAATGTCAATGCACAAGCAAGTAAAGGAGGAAATATAGGACTTTAATTAAAGTTTGGCTCAAAACTAAGAAGAAGGTAATTTTAATTAGTAGAGTCTGTCAGAACCATTCCCTGGTAGTTTCTCCCACAGGCTCTGTGAAATGGCTAGCCTGTCCCCACCACAGAGGCACACATGGGCACACACAGCTCCATAAAATATAGAACAACTTCTTTGTATTTGTCTCCTCTGGGTTTCTTTTTCTATATAATCAGTTGTGCAGCGTATTCCATAAAAGCTTTGGAATTTGGGGAGTGACAAGTCCATGGTGAATAGCAAGACTAGACAAGTGGAGGTGTCTGTGCTCAGTGGTCAAACTCTACTTGGCCTCCTGCCCTAGTTCTGAAGAGCCACAGCTCAGTGAGAGATGAGATGCAAATTCTTTCTTTGGAGGGTAAACTGCCCCAGTCATGAAGATAATTACTCACCTTGATGAGCCATTTTGCTAACATATGCCAATTTATTTCCCTGGCTGTCTCATTAAAAGTGAGTAATGGGCCTTTGCCAGGTTTGTGCCTCTGATGCTGGTTTACAATCTAAGATGAAGAGGAGAATGGGCACTCTCAGGGAGTGTGGGCCCCCGATAGCGAGGTGTACAGAAGCAGTCCTCCAGGTAATGAAGCAGGACCAAGGGGCAGACACAGAGACGGCTCCCATTCTAATGAGCTTCCCAATTGGCCCTTATCCATCAGTTTCTCTGAGCGACCTTTCTGGCTCCTTGAAGAAGCATTTTGCATGCTCATAAGGAAAGTGCTGCTAAAGTTAGAGCCTGCTCATCGAGGCCTAGGTTTCCCCTGCCCCATGGCTTCAGATAGATGTCTCCTGTCCCCTCCAACCTTCCAGGCTGTTTGCTTGTGGGGTAAAGAATAGCAGCAGGGAGAATAGAAGACACAGTGTGGAGTCAGCCTGACCTGGCTTTAACCAGAGACTCACCCTCTTCCTGCCAGAGGCCTTCAGACTCCCTCCCTTTGAATTTCTCCGCATGAAATTATGGCATTATCAGTCCTTACCTCATTGTGGGGTTGTGAGTACTCAAGGAGAAGCAGTGTGTGGGGATAATGTTTGCTGCAGGGTATCTGACATACAGAGAGCATTCAATTAATGGTGCCACAGTTATTAAATATTTACCTGGGTGATTGGGACATAAGATTTCTTTACCAGGCTTAAATTATGAGCAGGTAGCTATGAGTGCATTATATCACCTTCCTCTTGGAAAGTTCTGGATCTATTTGAGATGGCCTCATCTGCTAGCTAGTTTTTCTGAGATAAGCAGAGCTTGGGTCCTCAAAGTTGAATCCTAAAACATAAAGAGCTAGCCTAATAACGCTGTCACAGTGGTGATAGAGCTAGGACTCAACCCGAGTCTCCTGAGTGTGAGCCCCAAGGCCTTTCCATCAGATCGCACCTCCTTGATGATAACTTACAGAGTGCATGGCAGTGGTGTTTAAGTTTGCAAACACAAAGTATGGGGCAATGTCAGCAAAAAGGCAGAGAAGGAGATCCCAGCCTTCATTCCCCCACAAAGTACAATCAGACAGCTATCTATGAAAGAAAATAGCTGTAGGAGAGCTCAGGAGTCCAGTTGAGAAGATACAGCAACACAGTGTAAGAAAAACAATGAGAATAATTGCACAAAAAGAGTAGGAAGAACAGTTTCATCTTGCATGCATCAGCTCATCCCCCAGACCAGCATTGCTTAGCACAGAGAGAGAATTCCTTAGCTCAGAAGTTACCCTTGAAGAGAAAACATAATGGGATGAACAACCAGTTTCCTGAGATTTCAGGACACTCCCCCAAAGGACCTCTTTCAGTTTCACCCCACCCCAAATAGCTGGGGAGATCAGCGTGACTGAGACATTTGGAGACATCTGGGAACAAAGAAGCATGGCGCTATCAGTATCAGCAATGTCGCAGGCGCCACCAGGGTCCCCAGTGGCTGCTCTGCATAGGACCCCAGCTGTCTTCTACCCTCAGGATCTTGACAGCCTCACAGCCACCACACACCCCTGACTGGTTTTCACTGCCAAGGAGCCCACAATGTTTACTATTATGGAACTCAGCAGCTTCTGCCACTGAGGAAACCAACAACCAGTACAGCCACAGGGGCCTCTCACAATTTTTGCTGAAGACCCCACAGTTTTTCACTTTTGCAGTTTCTAGGTGCTTGAGTTACCACCTCTCTTTTTCTCCTCTCCCCAAAGCTTCCCTAGTGCTGCCGTTATAGACACCCCAACCCAGGAACCCAGGGAAGCCACTACACGTATGCCCCAAAACGGCCTGGGCTCCAGCCAAATATCCATCTGTCACCACCACGTGTGTACCTGTGACTAACCTCTTGGCTGTGTGTACCTGAGCAGCTGGCCGCAACTCCCATTACCAGCTCTAACAGCTGAAAATATGTCTGTATCTGGCTTCTGTGCCTACATGCATTCTTACCACCAGCCCTGGCTCCTACAGCTGTACACGTGCAAACTCCAACTTTTGTCCCTGGCTCCCACCACTGTGCTTGTACCTGCAGCTCACCCCTGCAGCTGCATACACGTACACTTCCAGCTTGATCCCCATAGCTGCAAATGCATATGCAGCTGGCCTAACTCCTATTGGTGACCCCCACCACCACATGGGTGCCTGCAGCTGGTCCTTACAATTGCACACATGTATACCATGAGCCTTGACTGCTATAGTCATGTATGTACATGCCATCAGCCACCATATAACCACAGTTGGCTCTGCCCCAGCCCTAACCATTATGTGCATGTCCACAACTGAGTATGAACACACCAATGGCCCTGACTCCCCCTGCTGGGTGCACCAGTCCTTTGTCACTGGACCCAGGGCACCACTGAGTATACCTACAGTCCTGTCAGACACTGTGGACCTCCCACAGCCTTTGCCACACCAAGGTACACACAGTTGCAAATGTTACAGACCTCAGCTCCTGAACCAATAAGACATTGCATCCCTCTCCAAGACCTGGAGCCACCATACACTAGGCACTAAGCATGGTGCCACAGTGCTGTCCAGCATTACCCTTCCCTACCCTCACCTACCCATAGGTGAAGGATTTTCCTTAATGAATCCAGTTCATAAAGTCTGGAAAAGGTGATTGTTTCTTCAAATGCTCACACACTTACACAAGACTACAAGTATCATGAAGGATCAGGGACATGCAGTAGCACCAAAGAAACACGATATACTGTCAGTAAGTAACCAACTCCAAAGAATAGCTATTGAATTCCTGATAAGAATTTGAACTAAATTGTTCT